AGAAAACTCCCAAATTGTTTGTCCAGCTTCTCTCTTCTTTGATTCTGGGGAAAAGGTAAGGCAGGCATGTATTTACTCTCCTCAGTCTCCTCTTTCATTGAATTCTCATCCTTCTTCTTTTTTAGAGCTCTAGTCCTCCCTTTCTTCTTCAGACCATCATCTGGATATACCCTCACTTCACCTTCTTGATTGTTGCTCTCTTTCTGCTCCTCCACAATCTTTATTTGTCTTTCAATCAACTCACCCATTTGTTTTGCTATGGGGTCCTTCAATACTTGCCCACTTCTCAAAGATAACCGCATTTATTGTCACTTTTGGATTTCTTTCAGTATCAGCAGGGAGAGTTCCTGGAACCCTCTCGGACAATAGATTAGCAAGTTAACCCACCTGTCTTTCGAAGTTTCGAATGGTTGTGCCATGTGTTTCAAGCCTCTCATATGTCTTAATAATAAAGGCCTTCATCATATCTTCCATGCTAGACTAATTTGACTATGGAGGTTGGTGTTGCTGCTCTACTGATTGAGAAAACCTGGAGCTCCTTGTCCCTGGGGTCTGGAGTTATTCTGTTGCCATCCATTCGCACTACTAGTTGGTGAACTCCAATAAAAACCTGGGTGCCTCTGCCCTAGGGAGTTAAAATTATTGCCACTTTGGTAGTTGCCTCTGTCAAAGCTCCCCCACAACATTTACCACTTCATCTGTAGTCGAGGCCTGACACGGATGTGTTGGATGACCCATTCCACAAAAGTCACAAGCTAATGATAACTAGCTCTGGACCTTGGCTAAGGTTAACTTTCTTATCTATCTGGCCATGGTGTCTAGCTGGGCTTGCACTGATGTGTTAGAGTCTACCTGGCGAACCCCAAATGATTTTCTTCTATCATTACTCTCAGCGGGCCATTGGTTACCATCTTCAGAGAGCTCATCAAGAATCATAACAATCTTCTTCGGAGTTTTCTTCATTAAAGGGCCTCCAATTGTAGTACTTAGAGTTCGTCGCAAGGAAAGTGTTACTCCATCCCAAAAGTCCTGGAGTTTCATCCACAATTTGATTCCATTATGTTGACATTTTCTCACTATCTCCTTGAATCTTTCCTAAGCTTCGAAGACATTTCAGTGTCCTTCTAGCAAAAGTTATGGATTTCCCTTCTGAATTTCACTATTTTTGCAGCTAAGAAGTACTTGTTAAGGAACTTTTTAGTCATATCTTCCATGTCCTAATCAACCCAGCTGGTAAGTTTCAAAGCCAGTGCTTCGCGCGATCCTTCAGTGAAAAGGGGAATGCCCTTAAGTAGACCGCATCTTTTGATACTTCATTGTACTAGAAGGTGTTCATGATTTCATTAAAGTCCATCAAGTGAGTGTTAGGATCTTCATTAGCCTTCTCTCTAAATACACAGTTGTTCTGGATGGTTTGAATCCAAGCCTTGCTTCAACTCAAAATTATTTGATGCTACGGGTAGAGGTCTGACACTTGATAGTCCTTGATTGTATATTGGTCTAGCATAATCACCTAATGCTCTTCCAGGCCTGGGACCAGTATTTTCAAATTGGTCTTCAACCAAGGGTCGATTTAGATAGAATCTTTGACCCCCATCATCTTCAATAGTCTCATCAGCAGCTCTAAGGGCTGCTTCAGCTGCTATCCGTGCAACTTGTTCTCTCTGTTGTGATGCCTCTCTTGCAGCTAAGTCTACCCCATCATCACTATTCTTAGCCATGTGTACTTGGGTTGAAGGTTGCCCCAAGAATTTTTTGGTGAGTTCTTTCTCTTTCCTCAACTGTCGCAAACACTTTTCCACCTCTGGATCGTATGAAATCACTTCTTTTGAAGAATATCGAGTCATACACCAGAGAAGTTAAACCTATTGCCTGCACACAAGTGAGAAAAACGTGAATACAAGAAAATAAAATCGGATCCTGAAATAGCACAAAAAAACTATTCTGAACACTATTGATTGCCAATCCTCGGAAACAGCGCCGAAATTTGACGAGCGCAAAACGCAACACTAAATTATTGCTCGCTAGTCAAAGATAGTATAGTTAATATATCGTCTCCACAGGGATTAGATTTAAACAGTGTTCGAATAATCTTTAGTCAATTACTATCCAGGAAAATTAACTCTTGATTGAATGATTATCAACTACAATTAACTACTAAAAATTAAGCAATTAATAATTGATCACGAAAGATAACAGATGAGCAACAAAGAAATATCAATGAGAGAAATAAGGGTAAGTGGCTAGACAGGTGCAAGACAATTGACTCGTGATCCAATTCTTAAATTAGTTCACTCTATAGTACTGTTGATTCTCACGAATTCAATAAATTATTGGATTACACTTGAAGTTAAAGTTCCTCTTTCGATTAAACGTTAATTTCAGTAATTAATCCAACTGAAGCACGGTGAATAATTGCAACGAATAAAATGATGTTTTAGTCTAAAGGATATTCTCACAAATATTTCTCTATTTTCTAATTCGATTAATGATTCAAGAGGCTCTTTCGATTACCTAGTTGAATCATGAATTTAAACTAGAGCGTAAGATGTAAAGAAATTCAATATCAAGCTCCTCTTTCGATTAATCAAAATAATAAATAACTTCACAATACGAATTAAAACTCCCTCAATTAATTCAAACAATTGTCAACATCGAATGCTTAATCAAGTTATCAATACACCATATCTGTCAATACCCTAAGGGAAATTACTCCATACAATGGAAAAAGTCATCTCAATAAGGTTTAAAGACATAGAAAACATCAATGCTAATGATTCGATACAAATTCCTGTATTGCACCGATTGTTGGTTGAAATCTTGATGAATTCTTGTGTCTTCTTGCCTTAGTTTCTTCTCAAATCTTTCATAGGTCAAAAGTTCCCTCAAAGTCATACTTTTTTTGTGTGTGTATTTATACCATGTAGGAATGGGTCCAGACGGAACTACCCTTTTCAAGCCAAAACGGGAAAGTACTCTGACAAAAATGCACATGCGCGACGCAGGGTGCGGTGCCCCATGCGCCGCGCCAGTAGAGAACTTCATAGGGCTGACTTTTGCACTATGCAGAAAAATTGCACTACCACCTTGCGCCCCGCTGCGTGGTAGTGCATTTTTCTCAAAGTAATCTTTTTTCCACTTTTTGACATCTAGACTTGGTCATTGACTCCCGAACATGATCCCGACTTAATTGGGCTTTTACTCAGACTTCAAAGCTCCAACTTATTTGATTTAGCTCCAAATTATCTTAATAGCTCGGAATTATTTCGTGCAAGGCATAAAATACGTAATAAGCGCAAATTACCATAATTTAAGCTCAAACACAAGTAAAGTGCAGTGATTAGAGTGCAATATACGATTAAAACACGGGTTTCTAGCCTACCATCAGCCACATTGTGAAAGAAAGGCTGATCTTCCATTGGTCTAAAGGCTAGACACTGAAGTACGCCACAGTTTGGAATTGGAGGCATTATATTCTCCAGAGACAATGGCACATCAGCTCCAATAAAATAAAGCATCATTGAAGAAATATCAGTGCCTTTTAGATCTTAGTAGAGTGTCAACCCAGATGATGAGTTGTCAACCACGGTTCTACTTCAATGGATTCTCTCACCAATGTTTCAAGTTAGTTGTATATGGTATAGGAAGGAAAGTTTTAGTAATTTCTGAGTCAATCACAATATTCTCCTCTTGAAAAACAGTAAAGGATCAATAACAAACTTCAACTTTTGTTCACCAACTTATATGCCTAAGAGGATCAATAGTACACATTAAAAAGTTTAACAACAACTGAAGTGAAAATACTCCAGGTCCCAAGCATTGTCGTCGATGGTACGTTTGCTAGGGAGATCTAGTTGTGAAGATGGCACAAAACAGTAAGAAATTTTGTGTTCCATAGATGATACAGGCTAATTAAATAAATCAGGCCAAGTTGGTGTAACTAGTAGCCCGAAGGATACGATCATTTTATCAAAAGTCGAATCTGATGAAAAAGTTTGATTGGGCCGCATTGCCGAAGAAATGCTAATCTTTCGTTCGTTTAAAGGCTAGGTACTGAAGTCCGCTACTATTTGAAATTGGAGGCATTAAATTCTCCATAGACAATGGCACATCAGCTCCAATAAAAAAACGTCATCGGAGGAATATCAGTGCCTTCAAGATCTTTGTAGCATATAGAATATACTATTCTTTCGTATTACTCCATCCGTCTCAAATTATTTGACGTAATTTCTAAAAATAGTTATCTCAAATTATTTGTCATTTTAGAAATTCAAGAAAAAAAATTTTTTTTTCATTTTACCCTTGTAGTAATTATTGATGAAGACTACAAATACCTCAATTATGGGGTGATATTATGATTGCTCAAATACCAATAAAATATGTATAAGTAAAATAACTAAAAATATTCTAACTAATATTTTTAAGAGCCGTTTAAAAGAAACATACGACAAATAATTTAAAACGAATGGAGTAATTGCTTTCACTTTAAACATGAGAAGATTTGTAATTCCGTTTAATTAGTGTTTTATTCCAAATTGGACCTAAGCTCAAAGGTTGGTAGTTGGTTTGAATTGCGTTTACTAACTCTATTTGGAACTTTGTATTAACAATGTAGCTCCCGTTTGACCATAAATTTTGGCTTCATTTTTTCCAAAAAAATTGAAACATTGTTTGTTTATGAAATATGATTATGTTTTGAAAAAAAAACTTAAAAAGTTCAAGGTTCCAAAAACTACCCCCTCAACCAGTTTTTGGAGGAAATTTTTTTTTTCTGGTCACAAAACTTTTCAATTTTTCTTCAGATAAAATATATGAAGAAACACAACTTAAACTTACAAAAATTATTTTTTAATCCAACAAAAACTGTCAATTGAATCTATTTCCGCTAGGGTAAAGGTACGACTTAATATATGTTTTGACACATTTAATGAAGGGGTTGAAATGGACAAGACTTCAGACATCGAGGACTAAACTGGATTTTCAAAAAACAAATGATTTCCGCTAAAACACATCCCAAAACCCAAACAAAACACTCAAAAGGAAACAAGTAGCCTATTCACAACATCGGAAGTGAAAGTAGGGAAGCTCAAAAAATGCTATTCAAGGTAGTTGGCTTCAATATTTCAAGATTTAAATGGTACGAAACACCCTTTTCTTTCTTTATTCCATTTCTGTTGTTTGTACAATCTCTTCACTCCTGAAAAATGGAAATTAAGTACATTTTTTTGGCAGCTCATGGACATGGAGATATGTGTTGTCACGATCATGCTCAAGCTCAACCAACAAAACGACGCTGTTTAACAGAAGTTACCCCAGTGGGTTTGATCTAAAAAAACGAATTTTGAAGGTGGTTTCATCAGGTGTGAACACGGCGAGGAGTGTGCTTCAGAATTGGGTGGATGAAGGCCATAAAGTTTCTGTACCCGAGCTCAGGTTTATTACCCGGCAGCTTGTGAAACGACGTCATTTCAAACCCGCTCTGGAGGTCTTCTCTTCACTCAGAAATCTTTTTTTAATTAAATAAAAATTGTAGAATTTCGTGTGCTTGGTGCTTGATTATGTGATGATTTTTAGTGAGGTTACTTAAGTTAATAATCTGAGTAACATATACTCTCGAGAGTCAAACTTCAATTTGGTCATAGAAATGTCCCACTAATATGTAGTAAAGAATTTTCTACTTGTTTGCTTACAATTGTATATACAATTATATACTGCTAATATTTTGCTTTATATACTTGATAGAGAAGTACTGGTAAGGATTTAGCGTTAACTGTTAATTGTGAAACCTTTTCTTTTGAAATCTCTTCTCTCCTTTGATCTGAGTGTGCATGTAATGAAGCAAGATACATCAAGACAATAATGTATATTTTTATTTTTCTTCATTTGCAGCTACTTAACTGGATGGAAACTCAACACAGATCTCACATGTTAGCTTCTGATTACGCCATGAGATTGGAATTAACTGTTAAAGAACATGGTAGCACAGAAGCTGAAAGATATTTTGACAGTTTAACAAGCACTTTTTTACGGAAAGCTGCTTCCGTCCCTCTTCTTCGTTGTTATGTTAAAGAAAGGTCCACTGAGAAGGCTGAAGCTTTCATGCTAAAGATAAACAGGTTGGGACTTGCTCTGAGCCCTCATCCATTTAATGAAATGATGAAGCTTTATATGGCCACATCTCAGTACCAGAAAGTATTATCTGTCATTTTGCAAATGAAGCAAAACCGAATATCCCAAAATGTTCTCTCCTATAATTTCTGGATGGATGCATGTGGGGAGCTCTCTGAGGTCGAATCAGCAGAGATAGTATACAAAGAAATGCAGAGCAACCAAAATGTAGAAGTGGGATGGACCTCTTTATCTACATTAGCGAATATTTATATGAAAGCAGGACTGACGGACAAGGCAATTTTGGCCCTAAAAATTGCTGAAAAGAAAATATCCAGAAGTACTCACCGTCCTTACTTCTTTCTCATTACGCAGTATGCTTCCTTGAATAACAAAGATGGAGTACTTCGGGTCTGGGAAGCTTCTAAAGCAGTAAATTCTCAAATGACTTGTGCTAATTACATGTGTATCTTGTCATCTTTTGTGAAGCTTGGCGACACGAGAGAAGCCGAGAAAATTTTTGAAGAATGGGAGTCTCAATGCAGGACATATGACATTAGGGTCTCCAACATACTTCTCGGTGGATACATGAGAAATGGATCAGTGGGAAAAGCTGAATCATTACATTATCGCACGTTGGAGAAAGGTGGATGTCCAAATTCTAAAACCTGGGAGATACTGGTGGAGGGATGGATAAGAAGTCAACAAATGGATAAAGCTATTGATGCCTTGAAAAGTGGTCTTGCTGCTCTAAAACATTATGATTGGAGGCCTTCACCAAGTATTGTTGTCGCCATTGCAGAATATTTTGAAGAAACTAGAAATTTTGAGAATGCTATGGAGTTTCTTAAGACTCTTAGACATTTTCGTCTTGCTAATTTGCAAGTGTACAAGTCATTGCTTAGAATGCAAACCTCAAGAGAAGAAAGTCCACAGGACATCCTTGATATGATGCAGAAGGATGGAATTGACGTGGATGATGAGACCTCTGGCATCTGTTCAGGCATTTTGCATTGAGTCTGAAGGTCGCAGTTATATCTACTTTGTGAGAACTGAAAACTCATAGTGGTACTTTAATTGTTCTTTAAAAGTTGACTCTTAGACCTGGGCAAAAGATAGGTTACTACGTTGCGTTGTAAGAGAACTTGTTACTATTCCCAATTTATGTGACACTCTTTCCTTTTTAGTCAGCCCCAAAAAAAAATGACACGTTTCTATATTTAGTAACAAATCAACTTCAAATTTTCCTTTTTACCCTTAGTGAGATGATTTCTAGCCATACAAATTTCTATGGTTTATTTTAGGCCGCAAGTTTCAAAAGTCTTCCTTTATTACTTAAACTTCGTGCCCAGTCAAACACCTTCACTTAAATTGGGACGGAGGGAGTATTTTTTTGTTTGTCGCTTGGTGCAAAGTCTGAGTTTGTGCTTAAAATATGAAGAGCACAGTGGATGTGATTGATTGAGAGTGCATCATGCAGCGACAGGTAAGTTTTTGTTTGCTTAAGCTACTTTCTTTTTTCACGGTTCTCTTTTCACTTGGAAGTTGCTTTATCAGTAAGTCTGTAGAACTTATCAAAAAAAACTCTTTAAAAATTAACGGCTTCTGCATTTTCTATTGTCTAGCCAGAGTGTAGATTTATTCTACTAACTGTTGTTGCTTTTATGACATTTGAATATTTGGCCATTTGATATTCGCGTATAAAATTCCATAAATGATATCTGGAAATCTTATAGAATGCAAACAATCAGCTATCAATGACCTTTTAAGTTTGAAAAATCAATAAACTCTCAAAGCCTTTATCATGATAGATGATTTTACTGCTTACACATAGTTCGGGCTTAAGATTAAGCTGCAGCTTTGTCAAATATATCGTTCTTAATTTACTCTGCACATCGTCTGAGCTTCTTTGGTCCACATCTCAACTTCTCTGAATATTTCTGATTCAATAAATATTGTCTGCAAAATCTTTTTCAACTTTGAAATCTAGTTCTTATTATTTGCACTTTTAGCGTGATTCGGTCTTGCTAGTTTCCTTTGTGGCTCTGTTTAGCCTCTCCCTTTTATGTGAAGAATACTAGTTTTGTCAGTTATGACAGGATGATAAAGCTTCAGGTGGGGTAAGCTTCAGTAAAAGCATGGTTTTAACTTTTTCTATTGCACTAGTGAACTTCATACACATCGTTGCCTTATTATGATATTTCTTTCAATTTGAGGCTTTTCTGGCGAATTGGCCAAAGAAAGTGGCTCCTAAAATATTTTATCACTGTATATTCTGATGCCTACCAAACTAATATGATATTGTATCATGGTAAAGATGATATGGATCATTTAATGCTTGGACTGGAATAATATGCTGGTTCTATGACTTGTAATATCTCTACGTGTGTGATTTTTTGACTTGTTTTATCTTTCCTGATCTGTCTTGCCGGACTGGCTCTCTTGCTTGTTTGTTCAAATAGGTGTATGATCACTTATGGATGCGAGCTGAGTGTTTAATTTGTTGAATAGCCTTAATAACGGATAAGGGTTGCTTCCTCGTTAATGGTCAATTAAATTATGGTTAAAAGTCTCTGGTCCTTTGTAGCTTTTCATCAATGTATCAGTGCTGGGTCTTTTTACTTCACAGCCCTTCATCCACCTCCCCTTGAACTAAAATGGAATTTGATTTTACTCGCCAAAAGTTGAAGGAACTCAAATGGTGTGTGCCCTATTGATAGTCAGCGACTTGGCCTTATCAAGGTGCAAAGCTCCCTGACAATTTAAAGAGTTGAAAGTTTCCTTAATTTTAAAGAAAAGGACTATGATATCATAATCATAGATGATAGATGCTTATGCCCTTATTTCCCTACAAAATTGTATTTGATAGGCAAAATCTTACATGTCATACAAACTCATCGAAAAGATTACATAATCATATAATCATATGTAGTAACATCTTCCACTATGGGAACAGATTTTAAATTTCAAGGTGACGCTGAAGCAACCAACATCTTGTGAAATCCTTTGTTATGCTCTAACAGTTTGTCTTTGGGTGGTGTACACTCTTTCAGAACAGGAGCAGCTTCGAGGACATTTTCAAACCATGCAACGAGTGAAGGCATTTCGTCTGCATCAATAAGTTTGATATCAACAATCTCCTCAACAATCTGAGCCCAGCAAATGATCCAAGCAGATGCAACATCAATGAAGCCTATCTTTGTATCTGCAAAAAAGTGTTTCTTGTCTAGTTCGCGCTCTAAAAGTTTCAAGTTCTCGCGAGCTTCTTTTGCTATCTTCTGCTGCTCCTCTCCGACCTTGGAGAAAGTACCAAATATTCCTGGCACACACTGGAAAGAAGGAAAGAGCATGAAAAATCCAGTGAGTGATTGCTGCAAGATGATGAACTAGTGACAAGAATCGATTCTTTCATATCTGAACATCAGTTATTACCTACCTTGTCATCAATAAATTTTGCCCAGAATCGTGCTTTGGCTCTTTCATAAGGATCTTCAGGCAGGAGGGGATTTTGCTTCCAAGTCTCGTCGATGTATTCAAGTATGACTAATGATTCTGCAATAGGTTTCCCATTATGAACCAGAACTGGAATCTTTTTATGAACTGGATTATACTGCAAGAGCAAAAGACTTTTGTTTGGGAGATGTTCTTCTTGGTAATCATATTCAATCCCTTTAAGTTTCAGAGCCCAATGAACCCTTAGAGAAAAAGGGCTTGCCCAGTATCCAAGCAATTTCACTCCCTCACCTGCCATTTGCTGATTCTTGCTTTGCAGAGGCTACTGAACTCTCTTGTTATATAGAGGTACAATTCTTGCTATGCAAACCAAAAGGGGCCAAGGCTGCTGCCAAATGTTGATATATTACAAGTCTTTGAGGTAATTATGTGTGAAATAGTGAAGTGTTCTTGATAGTTATACATTTTTATTGCTGCCGGGTCAAGGTATACCAGCAAGATGATTGGTTCTTTGACTTTTAAATATTAAGGTAGCTTTCCTTGGCCTTTATTAATCTTATCGGAAAATGACAATTTCTACAATCATAATCATGTAGTTTTGTGATTATTCCATCTGGCACAAGTTATTGCTCTCTTCTTATTTTTATCTTCGGGATGTCCAAGAAAATACAATAGTGTTTGCATTTCAAAACTATCAAAGTTATGCTATCTTAAAGCATTTTCTGGAAGCAATTACAAGTCAAAAGGTGACACCTGGAGAAATACTATTGTCTGTCAACTATTCATAACTCGAATCTCAAGGATAATCTAAAACTCTAGAAGTTCTACATAAAACAAATATTTTTGCAATTTAAACCAATTTCCACCATTTTGTAGGATTCCTTGATTTACTAGAAGAATAAGATTTAAGCACCCTTCTAACAACCATTCGTCTCTTTTTCTACCTTTAGTGATTTAAAACAGCTATACAAGTAACTGAGATCCACTGAATAAGGTCAATAACATGATACAGTTGCTGAGACCATCACTCAAAAAAGTGTTCAGAAGTAAATTAGCGACCAAATATGTGAGTTTGCTTACATTGTTTGTCCCAAGCCCGGATAAAACTTGTAAATTTATGAACCCCAACTTACTTGGGATTGATGCATCATATGCGCGTTACATAGCAATACAACATTGACTAACTTCCTTGATATCAAGCTGACATTACAATCCTTCAAATTATATGCAAGATACAGCTCTTCAAATTATTCCCAAATGTCAGAGCAGAACATATTGGTTCCACCTCATTAAACTTGTACAAGATGTTTCCTATTCGATGCTATTACTGCAAAGATGACAAAGCCTGTGAAACATTTCTCGAGATTCGATCATGAACTGGCTCCTGCATGAAGAACAAGTTTCAGTAACTCTTGTATTCAGCCAATAAATAGTAATTGTTTTCTACTCAGCATTACCTTTGTCCCAGGTATCTTGAATCTTGAATTTGTTATCGTCTCGAACAGGAAAATGTATCTGTTAGTAAAGTGGAAATCAGCACTAATAACTGAAACATTAAGAATGATAACTGTAAGACACCTTTGCTACAAGTAGATGACAGCCAAGTGAAGTTTAAGCGCGTTATTAACTAAAAAGGAATGGAGGCATTGCCTCTACCATGATAACATGAAAAGACATGGAACCATACCGCCAAGCTAATTCAGAAACAAGTTCTTCTGGAGCATCAGGTAAGACCTAAGCAGGAAAATTGATTTTTTTGGATTAGTGCAGTTCGAATACGAGTGTTATCTGAATACCAAGGAAACGAGAGGAAATAAAATGCCCATTTCCTACAGATTACCTCATCCTCATATGGGTTGCAATGATTTTTGAACCACAGCCTCAAGAATTCCTAGTCAAATATCGTAGTAAATGTCAGCATATTGCAAGGACAACATACTCGGAAATCATAAGCTAACTGGGAAAAACAAAGAAAAAGTATAATTATAGTTTTCTACTTTCCTAATCCAGTAAAGATAAATGCATGAGCATGTATTTAAGAGGTAATGATTAAGTTTCAATCATGTAAGAAACCTTGTCGATATTTTCAGGCTCAAGACCACTCTGAAAGCGTTCCTGGTAAGAATGAGCAATCCAATATCTGCTTGAGTCAGGTGTATGCACCTAAAAGTAGGAAGCAGATGATGAGCCCTTAGTGAGAAAAGTAGAATCACTGTCAAAGAGGAACTAGGAAACTAACGCTTACCTCATCAATCAAATAAATTTTACCGTCAGCTCCCTTTCCAAATTCATATTTGGTGTCCACCAATATCAGACCATGATCCAATGCTACACGCTGCAATGTGAAGGTTAGTGAAGACAACTGAACAGCGAGGCATATTTATGCCTAAAATATTGTCTAATTGCATTCTATAGCTAAGACAGTATATACATCAGAAACTCTAACCATTAGTGTTTTAAAAGGTTAAGGAGCAGGGCAGGTATTTTGCCTATCATGACACGTTTAGCCCAACGAACTTTTTAAGTTTCAATACTTTTAAAAATAAGAGGAATATTCCAAAATAGATTAAAATATAAAAACTTATAGAAAATAGATTAAAACTTGTGAAAAGTTCCAAAGCAAATTATGTATGAGAATTGATTTAACTATCTATGTATAATAATAAATGTCGATAATGGGGCATGCCACATTTTTTATAATAACAAAGAGGCATGCTAGTCCATACAGAATGGAACTTCGAAATTCCAAGATCGTCACTGCGGATAATTAACTAAGAAGAAAAAAGGAAGAAAAGCTTTGGTCTCCACAATCATTAACCTATTGCACAGCACAAACTAAAGCCATTTGATAAGAAACATCATGAAAGCTTGAAATTAAGGAATAGGGATGATATTGAAGTGAGATCATGCCATTATTGGTTCAGCGAATTTGAGTGAAACAGACTGGTATATTAACAATTAATAGGAGAAAGAAGCATGCTAAGAATCCCAAGTAAAATAATTGATAAACATAATATAAACTGATTACCTGGCCAAACTCAAATAAGCTCGTCGCCTTCCTACTCACTTCGTCATAATCAGCTTGAGTCATAAGCCCACGTTGAACTATCTGCAGTTTAAATTGCGCAGGACACTTAAGCCATCTTTGCTTACAACAAAGTTCAGCAATTTGGTAAAGACAACAAATGTGCTACAAGAGAAAAATCTAGTAGTATTATCATCTATTGTCTACTATAAGTTTTAGCTAGTCAGCCATATATATTGCAGATAAAGTGTCATTCTCACTTCCAAACCGACATTTATTCTGTGTTATGACAGATATCAAAATCCCCAGGATGTGGCATGAAATGGCATGAAAATGCTCAAAAATCTAGAAAATCTGCCTATAATACCAAAGCGGCCAACCAGATTCTGACAAACACCACCAAAATACCAAGATGTAAAACAGAAAGATGGAAATATAATCTTTCAAGAACACGTCCAGCTAGTCATTTTTTCATAATTCATCCATTATATCTTATGCTAATTCTCATCAAATTTTAAGAAATTAACTCATTCTTATATAAAAAAGCAAATAGAAATAAAGAAAGACTGGTAGAGAAGTAAGAAGTAAAAGGAAAAAGGAGAGTGAAAATACAGACCTCATCTGGTGTTACAGGAACATCATGATCTGCTGCTTTAGTTGTCGGAGTGAGTATATTTTCTTGAAGCTTTTGATTTTTCACCAAGCCTGTAAAATATAAGAAGAACAAAAATCAAGGAAACAAATAAAAAGAAGAGGACAAAAAGCTAAATGAAAATGGTGGCATTCATGCATTATACAAACCACACCATCTGGAAGGCTGTTGCCACAATAATTCCGAACCCCTTTATTGTAGACTGTCCAGAGTGATGTATCAGTGCTTCCAGTAACATACCCTCTTACTAGAAAAAGAAGATAATGTTAATACCTGAAGTCACGGCTTTGTTGATGTACAATAACAAGACAGTCACCAACAAACATAAACAAACATGAGAAGTAGATGCAAGGACCTAGTAACCTAATACAAAAAGCTTTGAGAAGTTATCATTTATTTTTAATTCCACTAAAAGACACAGTTGAAAACTTGAAAGCATACTTGTCAAAAAAAATGGAAGCATAAAAGTCAGATGATTATTAAGAGATTTTGAGCTTACATATTTAAAATGACATCTAAAAGAATTTCAATGGCATTAATTACTAAGAAGCAGCACGGGAAAAAAATATTACTGATGTATATTACAATATAATACCAGAAGTCTTATTTATAACTATACTCTACATAGTACATATTACTCCTATTCCAATGTGGGACTAGACATATATATATATATATATATATATATATATATATATATATATATATATATATATATATATATATATATAACAATTACAAAGACTCACCATTGATTAGGTCCCTTCCTAGCACTAAGGATGCTTCAAATTGACATCTAAAAGAATTTCAATTGCACAAATTGCAAAGACTTCCCTTCAATTAGCACCCTTCCTCCCAAAGAAGAGAAAGGAAATGCTGAGGATGGTAGGATAGCTATAGTAGTGGCTCATGTGTGCCAGAGCGAGATTCAAACACGTAGCTAGCCCTTCAGCATTTTCCTCACAGTGAGAAATCATACGATAGTCCAACTATTATCTCTAAACTATGTCAAATTTTTTCTTTTGTTTTACATCGTTTCTCCTTTATTGGGAGGTGCGGGTCAGGGGCAAATTCTAGATTTGAACTTTATCGGTTCGAGTATAGAATTCTAACACAACATTAGATTTAATGGGTCCGAAATCAATTAATTGTACTTATTTAGTAAATTTTCTAACACATACAAAGTTCAAGCAAAAGCTATTTGAACCCATACCTTAACCTCTACATCCTCCCCTAGTGGGGTGTGGAGGTAGGAGTTCGGTAAACCATGTTAAGCTTGTAAAGCCATTAAAGGAGAATTTTGCCACTAAACACATAAGCACCATAGAGCAAGAAGTGCCCAGATTGAGAATAACAAAGAGAGTTAACTGCCATTGTTTCTAAACATGCAGGTCCAGAAAATATAACACAAATTGACAATTTGGCTGACTTCAACAATTGCCTCACTACTATACATGTAGTGAGGAACCTAACCACACATAAAGCTCATTATATTTTGGTCGAACAGTGAACCAGTTTTGCAGATAATACCTATATGGTAGAAACTCACCAACAAACTCAACAGGGAAAACCGAACACTTCCTCGCAATAGTTACATTCCGATCAGGCACCGATACCACTGCATTAGGAGTAATATGTTGAGTTTTATTAAACCACCATAAACTTGTCTCATTAAGGACCTGCATACCCAGAGTGTAACTACGTTAAAGATTGAAGATAGTGATCATATTATACTTATTACTAATTGCATAATGTCAATACATTCTTCGCATAAGCTACCTTGTAACAGGAATAATAAAAAATTACCTGGCCTTTGAAGGGGATGGAAGCAAGAATTCTGTCAAATGCGCTTTGCCTATCTGTTGTCACCATTACAAGGTAATCCCCTCCATCATATATATCTCTAACCTTCAAAGCACATGAAATTTGTCATATGTGCATTCGAAAAAGAATCATATTTCACTACTATGAACATAAATTTTTTGATTAAGTAGTCAACTTCCATCAAGAAAATAAAATCCCTTTTAGCAAAACTATGCATTTACACTTCGGGACAATGTTCCAGCATCCCACATACTTACCTGTCACACTCTGCTAGCTAACAGAGAAAAATAGTAAATAGAAACACTAATAGATAATCCCCTCCATCATATATATCTATAACGTTTATATACACCGTATAAATTTGGGATAAATTTGTCAACTTTCCATCAAGGAAATAAAATCCCTTTATCAAAACTATGCATTTAAACTTTTGGACAAAGTTCCAGCACCCTACATATTTATTTGTTACATTCTGCCAACTAAAAGAGAAAAATACAAGTACTAATATTTATTACCTTGCCTCGGATTTTGGACTTGAGTGCAGGTACAGTTAAATCAAGATGGGTTTCGGAGAGGCAATTAGATATTGAACTTTTGATAGCGTTCATGACTTCTTCCTTGTGTTCATTGTTGGTTAATGCTATATGGGGTAGTGGGTTTTGCTGCTGGCTGGACATAGTGGATGAAGTGATTGATGGGTATTTCTTCAATTTCGAAATTTTTCGAGATGCTGTTTGTGAGAATGAGAAGATTGGTTTGTTGATAGATTGAAGGTTAGTGTTTAGGATTTTGGGAGGGTTTAAGGCTGGCAAATGATGAGCCATCTTTTTCCCCCTTCTTTCCTTTCTCCTTTCTGAGGTTTGTGCTGTAAGGGTTTAAAGCTTGAGCTTAGTAGTTAGTATAAAAGAGAAACAAAAGAAAAGGGAAGAAGGAAAAAAGAGAATAAGTGAGCGTTTGGCATAAGAATCGTAAAATTCCGGAAAAAAGTGGGAAAAAATAAAAGTGAAAATGATATTTGAAAACTAGAGTTGCGTTTGGATATAAATATAATTTTGGGTTATTTTTATATTTTTATGAGTGATCTGAGTGAATTTTGAAAAATATCTTTTTTGGAGTTTTTAAAATTTTTGAAAAGTTTCAAAATTTATCTTCGAGTGAAAATTGAAAATTTTACGGTCAAATATGAATAGAAAAGGAGAAAAATTCGGTAAAAAGGTAAAAAAAGAAAAATCATGGTCGGAGGTGTTGGTTTTCCGCAACTCCCTAGTTATAGCCCGTTTGGCCAAGCTGCAAAAATCAGCTTATTTTGAGAAGTGTTTTTTTTCAAAAGTGCTTTTCTCAAAAGTACTTTTGGTGAGAAGCAGTTTGTGTTTGGCTAATTAGTTTGAAAGGCAATTCTGAGCAGCAATTAGTGTTTGACAAGCTTTAAAAAACTGCTTCTAAGTGTATTTTTCTCAAAAGTGCTTCTCAAAAAAGTGTTTTTGGAGAGAAGCTACTTTTTTCTGCTTCTCCAAAACTGCTTCTGCTTCTCCTCAAAAACACTTTTTTCCTTCAAAAAGCTTGGCCAAACACCTCAATTTTTGGCCAAAAGTGCTTTTGGCCAAAAAAAAAACACTTTTGGCCAAAAAGAAGCTTGGCCAAACAACCTATTAGTATCCGCTGATCAAAAAAATTTATAGTAACTCTTACTTTGTGAACGATAACTTTATAATTCTTTTTTTTTCTTTCCCTATTCCTATATATAATATATTTAAAAAAATAAAAAAGTGTCAAAAATATTCCTATACTTTCAAAAATAGTTTTAAAATACTCTATATTATACTATTTGACGATCTGAATTCCTATCGTTATACTATGTTTCAAAAATACCCCTTAATTTGACCGACTATCACGTGGCTTCACCAATTTCAAATAACCCAACCCCTTTTCTATTATGCGGTTCGCTTAATTTAAACCCGGAACCCAATCCAAACACCCCCAACTTAAAACATGTCTTAACCAAAAGAATACTAAAAATTAATGTTCTAAAAAAAGCCAGATTTTTACTTTAATTCATAAATGAAAGGTTATTGGCTCTCTTTTTAGGTTTAGATGTGTTTTAAGTTGCAGGCATTTTGATCGAGTTTCGAGTTTAAATTAAATGTACCATAGAAAAGGGGTTGCGTTATTTGAATTTGGTGAAGCCATGTTGCAGTCCTTCAAATTTATGGGTATTTCTTAATCATAGTATAACAATATGAATTCAGATAGCCAAATAGTATAACATAGTATATTTTAAAACTTTTTTCAAAAAGTACGAGGAGATTTTGTTCCCTTTTTTCCATGACAAAATAAAATCAAACGGTATGTTATCAATTTATCACAAGGGTGCGATGAACTAGTTTTTATCTACCGCGATGAAATAATTGAATTCTTCTAATGTTAGGAATTAGATTGATTATTGAAAGTTGTATAACAAAGTTTTTATTTTGTAAAAGAATTTTTTTTATAGTTTATTTGTTTTTTTTTAACGTAAAAGTTACTTACTATTTTTATATCACACCAAATATATATAGAAAATATTTTCTAGAAGGGTAGTAAGTTGGGGGTTAAAGGAGGATGTAGAGAGAGAACGTCTGGCGAGTGTGAAGCAAGGCAGCTTACAGACGCCATTAATGACCTAGCTCTATTCCTTTACTACAATCCTCACATAACCTACTGAATTCACTAAGATGACGAGAGTAATTACGCCGGAAAGTGGAATACCACAAAAATTAGAACCGATGCAACTATTACATTGGCTCCCTGGCATGGGAAGTGCTCCAACGGTAATGCAAGCTCCACCAGAAGTAGAGAAGACGTCCAAGCAACCGGAGGAAGTGACGATGTACACAGCAGCAAGGAAATTGACATATTCAGCTGGATCTCAAAAGCAGACTATGGCGGAAGCAGTAAAAAGGAACAGAACACAATCACAGGGCATGCAATTAAAATTCTATCCGCCGATGGTGCAGAATGGCGTGAAAATAGCAAAATTGAACACGAAGGAGATAGATATGCAAGTCCAAAAATGGAAGACAACTCTAATAGGGTATGTATTGGGTGGAAATCCATCATTTAAAGAGATGCTAAAATTTGTTTACGGTGTTTGGAATTTTGTTACAACTCCAACAGTATTAGAGCATGATGATGGTTATTTCATTTTTAAATTCGAATCTATGGAGGATAAAGAGAGGGTTATGCAGCAGGGACCGTATACAGCTAACAATAGGCCTATGATTCTAAAGGACTGGGATCCAAATTTCCAGATCCAAGAAGAATCTATGAGAATTGTACCACTGTGGGTCAATTTTCCAGGTCTGTCTATCCAATGTTGGACTGAGGAAAACCTAGGAAGGATTGCTAGCCTTCTAGGTAAGCCAATTTGTACTGATAGGCTAACTGCGGATTGTGAGAGGGTCTCCTATGCTAGAGTTCTAATTGATATGGACATCACACAGCCTCTACCAGAGGAAGTCCACATCGAGATACCTGGTCAAAAAAGCTGGATTCAAATGGTGAAATTTGAGTGGAAACCAAAATTCTGCCTAGAGTGTAACAACTTTGGGCATGAGAAAGGAAAATGCCAACAGATGGAGGAACAGAAAGAAGAAGTCAAACAGAAAAGAAGAAGAAAGAAGGGGAAAATGATATGGAAGCCAAAGGAAGTAAAGGAGCAACAAACAGATAATACTGCACAGGAGGAGAAACAGGAGCTAGACAAAGGCAAGCAGAAGATGAACACACAAATTTTGAAGCATAAGGAGATCAATTATGAGGAGCTAGCAAATAGAAACAGGTTTGCACCACTGATGATAAAAGAGAAGCCACCTGAACAGACTGTGCATGTAGATACCAAAAATGAAGCAGGACAAAGGAGCCTAAACAGCACTCCTAATGCTCAACCACCATGATCATCATATATTGGAATGTGGGGGGACTAAATAAGTCCCACAAGCAGCGAGAAGTGAGGAAATTCTTGCTGAGAAACAAAGTGGATATGATAGCTTGCCTTGAAACAAGAGTCAAAAAGCAGAAGGCAAAGGATGTTCAAAGGAAAATAGGCAATGATTGGAAAATTGAGGACAATTATGAATATGCACCAAATGGGAGAATATGGCTAATGTGGAAGGAAGTCAATGTCAATGTAACAGTACTGGAGAAGACAGAGCAACTGATTCATTGTTATGTGCAAGATAAGAATTCTGTTTTCACTTGTTACATAACATTTGTTTATGAATTACATACTGTTCAACATAGACAATCACTATGGGGGAAACTAAGAAGTATACAATTGAATGATCCTTGGCTTATAATAGGAGATTTCAATAGTCTACTAAATGTTAATGATAGAATAAATGGTAATCCTGTACAACAAGCTGAAGTAGTAGATTTCCAAAATTGTATTGAAGATATAGCAGTAGGGCAGATTACCAAAAAAGGGGGTGACTTCACATGGCGTAACAAAAGAGATGCTGAAGTAAGGATATATAGTCATATAGATTGGGCCTTTGGGAATGCTGAATGGTTCAACCTATACACTGGTATTGAGGACCAATACATGCTTCCTGGATGTTCAGACCATACTCCAATAATGATAAGTACTGAAGTGCAGAAAATGAAAGTCAACAGACCTTACAGATTGTTAACTACTGTAATGAAGCAGGCAGAATATAAGGAGATTGTACAAAGAGTATGGGAACAAAGAAGTGGAGGAGATGCTATGTCTACAGTCTGGAGAAAATTGAAGCAGATTGAGAAAGAGACTAGAAGTATACAACATGAGCATTCATCAGTGGATAAAAAGCTAAACAAGACGAGAGAAGAGTTGAATCAGATTCAAGGAATGTTAAATGAAGATTATTTTAATGCAGAACTGATAGAGGATGAAAGGAAATGTCTAGCAAATATTGAGAAGTGGGAAGCAGTCCAAGAACAAATATTAAGGAAGAAATCAAGAGCTACATGGATCCAACTAGGAGACCAAAATACAAAGTATTTTCATGCCTGTATGCGAGCTAGACAAGCAAGAAACAAAGTGAGCTGCATTTACAATGATACTCAGGTGAAGATCACAGAACCAAAGCTGATTCAACAGGAGTTCATCCAATTCTTCAAACAGTTACTGGGGATAGCAGCAGACCAAATGCCAGGAATTGATCTAACTATAGCAAGTTTGGGCCATGCTTGACAGTGATTCAACAGCAGCAACTAGTAGCTCCAATCACTAATGAGAAGATCAGCCAAGTAGTGAGGAACCTGCCTAATGATAAGGCACCAGGAATTGATGGATATCCTGCAGAATTCTTCAAGGAGTACTGGTCAATCATAGGGCGAGAAGTAACAGATGCTGTGCAGAATGTTTTTCAAAAAGGAAAGCTAATGAAGGAGGTAAATTGCACAACTGTCACATTGATACCAAAGGTAAAAAATCCCAGTCTTGTTGATGAGTTTAGGCCTATTGCTTGTTGTTCAACACTATACAAGATCATAGCTAAACTCTTAACAAATAAACTAAAAATGATGGTGGATTACCTGGTTGGACCTGCTCAGTCTGCTTTTATTGAAGGAAGGAATATACTAGACAATGTGATAATGGCACATGAACTAATCAAAGGATATACTCAGAAGAATGTATCACCAAGGTGTATGATAAAGGTGGACATTAGGAAAGCCTATGATTCTGTAAAATGAGGTTTTCTGAGAACAGTATTACTGGTTGGTGTGCCCTTAAAGCTAGTGGAACTGATTATGACATGTGTTAGTATAGTAAGCTACTCAATACTGTTGAATGGAGGTCTCACTGAGAAGTTTGAAGCAAGTAAAGGCTTAAGGCAAGGGACCCCGTGTTACCTTACCTGTTTGTTCTAGCCATGGAGTATCTCAATAGATCTCTGAAAGCTCTGACAAGA